CTTTCTGTTCCTTCTTTTGATGCTGCTTTTGCTTCATACATTCTTTCGGTTTTATGATTTGAATCTCATTATTACTAGACAATAGAATTTCGATTTGTTAGTACCAATTAATATAATATTGGGATTGTTTTCTTGTTGCATGATCAGCGCATCAACTAATGTTGATCATGCGCATCAACGAACTATTACTATTTTACTATTTCGGTGAATCTAGAATAACCCCTAGAGGTTACTAGAATAAGTAGGAAAAAAGGTCCAGAGCATAGGCGACGATTGCCTATTTGTCAGTTTTATCAGTTTAGTTTTTTTTACCTACAGACAAACATCCGTAGGTGATGTACACTAACTACCACGCCATTCCGTTATCGGACCAAATGTTTACGCAACTTATCAAACGATGTATTTATCGAGCGAGATTACATATTGAAGGATCGAGGTGAACGTTAGTTAGAGACTATACGATATACTTGATATATGCTACGTCGAAAGCTGGTCGCCAATGGTAATAATATCTATGGAGGGTAGAGGTTTTTTTATGTTTGAGAGATCACTGGTGGCCCGGGGGCCTTTCCAGTTTTATCAGGGCAGGTGGGCGTGCAAGGGCTCAGCTAGGAGGGTGGGTAGAGGTAAGGAGCACCATCTTGTATAGGGGACAAGTTTAACAAGTGTCCATCTGTACACAGCAAGTTGTTGTTGGAAGACTCATCGAAATAGCGAAATAGTTTATGGCGCTGTTTTTAAAATCCTTCAACTTGCTACTGTGGCGCCACCTAAATAGGCTCCCTTCCAGCGGATACTTTTCAATACACAGAGATGGTGCTTCTTACTTCTACCCTCGACAATAATCTCTTAGGAAAGTGAACAGAGATAATGTATTGAAAATACGCGATACGCAAAACGCAATCGTTAATCGAATAGTAAACGTCTGTCTCCTTCAAGTGTCACTTGGCAAAAACTCGTCACGTGTTTTAGGATAAGACATAGATAATTATCGTGGAAATCATTCGTGAAGATGTTAGCTGTTTTTTCCTACCCCTCCAGCTATGCGCGGGTAGGTGATCTAACGGGCTCAACCTGAGAGAATTTGCTAACACCAGCCCTAGCAAGAGCAGTGCTTCTTAGAATCTACCACCGGATCGGAATCGCGACCCACAGAGAAGATCCGGCGAGAAACTCATTGGGCTCAAAGTAGCTGTCTGCGGGATTCGAACTCCGGAACGGTCGCATCGGTCGACTCAAGTTTAAGCTGATTCGCTACTTGATGGTGGATACCTCTTTGTCTATTTCATGTCATGATTAATAACATGTCACGATTACCGACTAAAAGATAATCTCAACTATAATCCAAACAACAATGAGACATTTAAAAATATATTTACGTGCTTTATGATATTGTATTGTTTTTTCATGTTTTTTATTTATTTTTTTATTTGCGCATTGGTGTAACGCTAGTTCGATGGCACTGTAAAATTATTTCTGGTACCGTCAGAGTAGCATGAAACAAATATGGGTGAATCTAATTTAAATAACTATATATATATACATACATACAAATATATACATATATATAAAGTGACCGAAGTTAGATATTGATTTATATAAAAAAATACTTTTCATGCAAACAATTTTGTTATTAACTGTATTACAAGTTCCGTAACAAAAAAAAAATGCACACATTTTTTTTTTTCGATTTCGAAACGAGTTTTCGTCCGGAGGTGAACTGAACAATCTTGATATTTATTCGATTTAAATTACATTTTTAAATTTCGACCAAGCCTAAAAATCTGGGTTTTTCTTTTTAGGTTTTATTAAGATAAAAGCAAAAGGGACATGAACTAAAATTACCTGGTGCGATACGATAAAGCCCGCAAGTATTGGTGATACCACCATACTCCCTATTACCCACTGAGTCTCTAAGGTTGGACAGATTTTCAAGCTTTTTGAGGCTGAGCGCCGTGAGCTCGCCCCCGAAGTCAGAATACTCCTCAAGTCGAATAAAAATAAACACCCCCTATTTCTGCCGGGAAGCAATCACGCAAGCCGATTCCAAAGATGTAACATCTGTATAAGATTGAGATCATACCCTCGTGTCTCCAGATGGGTAATCACATTGACCTGTCTATAGACACCGCTAAAAATTCAACGTGATATGGCTTGAGACATTTTACTTATATCTCGAACAAAAACCATGACCTAGTATGTATTTGTGCACGTATCACACGTCTTGTGACTTAAAAACGTTCAAAATTAATCTAAATCTTCACTATCAACTACATATTTGATAAGACTTACATTCTAGAATTTAGATTATTTTTAGTGTGAGTCGACAATTGTTTTTAAGCTGGTCGTTGAGGCCAGGAAAGTCGATACGTGTATCCGAGACATAATTATCAATAATCTCTTCTTATTATTACACGATGCTAATATTAAACTGGTGTTATAGTCTAGGAAGGGTGGACGGTAAAAAACCTTAGCGGAGGTCTCTTTTGTGGTGGACTGAGTAAATCATGTCTGAACTGGGAGGTTCCTTAACGAGAGCAGCAGTCTGGCCTCTAGCAGGGAAAAATATCGGGACATCGCCAGCGGCTTCAAATATGCCCCCTCCAATACTACAAAACGACAAAACGACTCTATCGAAAGCGAAACGACTACAATAAAGAAAAAGATGTTCCCGGCAGATCGTAACAATATCTGTTACACAGTGAAAGACATTTACGATGATGAACAAACACAATCTACGTGATCTTTGAGTAACATTCAAGTAAGCTGTATACAAAAAAAATCAAAACGTTACAAATGGTGGAGCCGTTTAACTATAGAATTGAGACTTTGAACTTATGTCACAAGGAATTAACGTTGTTGATATCTATGAGCTCTGGTAACCATTCACCACCGGGAGAGGCGGAAGCTCATTTATCCGTAAAACCAGAATAAAACATTCTGATATGACTTTATTGTTACATCATTACATCCAATCCAGCCGCTGCATTAATCGAATGAAAGCATAGCTGAACCAAACTACCACATCTACTGCTAAGCATCAAAACTCCTGGTGCTTGATCAAAATCGAAATTCCCAACATCATGTTACACACATACTTAAATGTCAATTTTAACTTTATCGTCGGCTCTTTGGTGCTTTAAAGTACCACAAGCACCGATCACCGTTCTCGTCAAACCCGTTGCGACAAAGGTCTCGGCAGTAAATTAACCCATAGACACAGCCCATCGAGTTTCTCGCCGGATCATCTCAGTGGGTCTCGTTTCCGATCCGATAGTAGATACTGCGAAGCACTGCTCTTGCTAGGGTTAGTATTAGCAACGTCCTCAGGTTAGAGCCCCGTGAGCTCACCTACTCGCCCAGTTACGTAACCATCTAGGTCACAAAAAACAGCCACAGTCCCTAAATGAAACAGCGACATAAACTCAGCGAGATTGTCGGTTTCTGTTTAAAGCGTCTATCATAATTTTCCATTAGTCGTAGTTACTTCTAGTATCAGCCAGAAAACGAAAGAGATGGAGATCGTGTGAGAGAAAGTAATACATTACGGTGGTCACCCTCAGCATTGAAGATTATCGACGCAAGGGGGAGGATTCAGACTTGATATTTGACGCACTATTCAAATGATACTTCATCGTTAATGAGCCAACAGAAAATCACTGATAAGGGGTAAAACTGTTCACTATTCCTTGTATAGCTGTTTAATTACAAGGAAACTCGCTCGAAAATAATATGTTTAAAGTTCAGAAAAAGGACATCTCGCAGCTCTCGATTGGGGAAAGACCGAGACGCAATCGATTTGTCTATTATTTGGTTTTTCCTGAGTTGGAAATTCGCCTTTTTTCCTACGTATTCTAGTAATCTCGATGTACTAGATTCTCCGGACGAACAGGTGAGCTCACGGGGCTAAAACCTGACGACGTTACTATCACTAACTCTAGCAAGGGTAGTTAGTGCTTCGCAGAATGTATCACCGGATCGGACACGCGACCCATGCATCCGTTTCGGCGAGAAACTCAGTGGGCTGTGTTTGTGGATAATTTACTAGCCGAGCCCTTCGTTCGCTAACTACGGGTTCGACGAGATAGAATATAAACCTATAAACGTTCCCTGTACTGTTTTATTACCGAGCAAAAATATTTGTTTAAACTCCAAAACTGAGATGACAGATTTTCCAACAAAAAAATATGTATATATTTATTTATTTTCTTTGGTCTAATTAATAACATGCACTTCTAGAATTACGAAAAACATTATTATTAAATAAGTAAATTTTAATACAAATTAATAATTAAAAAATTCAAGTGTCAAGATCGTTTCGTCGTAAGCACGTCAAATTGGAACGTTCGAATTTTGAAACGAGAATGTCGTGTCCAAATTATCAGGAAAACATTATCGAATCGACAACATACAAATATGAAAATTGTCAACGTAAATGCCAACAATCAAAACATTCGTGTCTTGATTGATTGTTATGTGAAGTTTTAAAAAGCTTGATAAAGTTTTTACATTGACTTTCGAATACTAACAACCCAACTTTAAAACTTAAAAGAAGTTTACACGATTATTCTCTCTTAAACGATTTCGGCAGAATTCCAAAAAAAAAATCTCATGCAATAAAAGGAACAATTTAAATTCAGAACACCAATGCGAGTAAATTAAGTGAAAGGTTGTCACCGAAAAAATTCAAACCGTCGCGTTTATTACGTAAAAAAAAAAAAATTCGATTTACAAACTGCACATTTTTAGTCCATAATAAATAAAGATTTCAAAATATTGTACATAACCGATGATTTGTTATTAGAAAAACACGGGACGCAAATTCTAGTATGATTGTTTTTATTTTATTTTGAACTATAATAATATTACATAATTACATTTTGAATTCAGAACACAAACGAAATCTATCAAGGGTAAGGCTGCAGACGAATAAACAAAAGTGACATTAGAACGTTGAAGAATCAAATTTTCGAATCAAGAACACAAATGCAATCTCAAACCAAAGTTAGTGGCTGGCACAAATAAAAAAAAAACAACACTGATTGTTTACAAAACAAAAATTCGAAACACAGACTCGTTGAACTTCGAACCGAATTAGAACAATTTCGAATTTGGAAAGTTCTTATTATATTCGTGTGTTTACGTCTCGGTGGGCGACTTTCGTTCGAAACGCGTCCACTCCGCGTGGCGTAATCACGGATACTGGTTCATTTATTGAATTGAATCGACGCTTATGATTCCAAGATTTCCAAGGCGAAGGGGTTCTAGTGATGTGCATAATCGATAAATTAGGTAAAAAATTAAGGTAAAAAAAAGTTATTACTTTCATACGCATAATAATAATTTAATTTAAAATAATTAAATGATGACATTTAGAGAGGAGATGTATGGAAATGGAAGTGCAATGTAAAGGGGGAAGAGGTCGACCGATGAAGACATGGATGGAGTGTGTGAATGACAATAGAGAGAGAGAGGAGTGAGTGTTGAGTTGACGGCTGATAGAAGAGAATGGAATAGAAAAATTCGCTGTGCCGACCCCACCTAGTGGGACAAGGAGGAGACAAATAAGAATACTTCTTTCGGCTCCATATTAATCTCAGACAGAAAATAATTCTGAAGATAGCTGGTTTATGTTATATAGCTCTTATACAGTTAATACCTTTCTATTTATGCTATTTCTTCAAAGTACAGACACCGGATTCTACAGGCTTATTTTATGTACAGATAATGCGATGTAATTTTGTAAATACCGTTAGCGCGATCAAAATTTTGTGACAGATTTCTTCCAAATTATAATAACTACTGCTACGTAAAACACCATACATTCATATTAAAATTTATCGATATAACACACATCACTAAACGAATTGTTCATTCGATTCATTAGGACTGCTTCATACACTCGAGATAAATGACTTTGAATCTTATCTGTTCGACATAAAACTTATTAAAAACAAAAAATATTATAATCTGTGTACATTTTTAGCACAAAATCAGTGGCTAGAATCAAAGCGATTTGCATCTTGGCGACCAGCGAACAGAGTTGATATTTAAATACACGTAATTGGGCACGTACTTACAAACATTAGGATGAGTAAAGGCCGGCGNACACTCGAGATAAATGACTTTGAATCTTATCTGTTCGACATAAAACTTATTAAAAACAAAAAATATTATAATCTGTGTACATTTTTAGCACAAAATCAGTGGCTAGAATCAAAGCGATTTGCATCTTGGCGACCAGCGAACAGAGTTGATATTTAAATACACGTAATTGGGCACGTACTTACAAACATTAGGATGAGTAAAGGCCGGCGCGCAGGGAAAATACCATTAATAAAATAATTGTTTTTTTTTATGAATCATTCGGACAAAAATATTCAAACGCCTACTGAAAATGTCTTAGCAAAAAAAATTATTCAGAATTTGGATAATGTAAGTTGCGTTGTTTTAAAAATGAGAGTAAAATTAAATTATAGAAATGTGTGGTGTTATATAAAGTTATTTGTAAATAAATAACTGGGAACAAATCACGCACTGGCATCCTGCACCAAATTAGGATTCCTTATGGGTATCTATCTGGTAATCTATTTTCAGTTTCACCACAGATCCATAAACAATAAGAAAAGTTTGACAATAAACAAATAGTATGCATGCGTGTGTATGTGTCAAATACATGGTAGTGTGTGTAATGTTTATTTAATTGATTTAATGTATTTTCTATGCGTAATTTATAATATATTAACATTCTGCACTCCTTCTCTATATTCTTTATAAGTGTGGGAAATTTCATACTCCTCCGTCCGCGCAATTTTCATAAAAAGGGGTAAAAAGTTTTTGCTTCACGTATTGATAAACACAATATATAAATACTAAACACTCAGACGAAGACCAAACGAACTTGTTCGTCCGAATGTTTGCTCGTCGCGGGAATTGAACCCTCGACCCTCGGCGCAACAGTCACGACCGGTTTGAAGGGTGGGGCAGCCGTTGTAACTATACTTGAGACCTTAGAACTTATATATCTCAAGGTGGGTGGCGCATTTACGTTGTAGATGTCTATGGGCTCCAGTAACCACTTAACACCAGTCGGGCTGAGAGCTCGTCCACCCATTAAAGCAATAAAAAAATATAAAATAATCAGTGGGCTGTGTACAGTGGGTGTCTAACCATACGAGATGATGTTCCATTACTACATTTAAACAAAATTTTATAACTATCCGACTGTAGTGGACTTACGATTTATTTATCTGTGATGGATTGACGCATAGACCCTTGAGGTATGGCCGCATGTTTTGAGTGGGGCGGCAAAACTTTTCAAATATCAAAATTCCAGAGACGAAAACAAGTCAAAGACTGTCTCTAAAACTCTAAAAATGAGTTCCTTTTTTTATTTTTTATTGTATAGATGGCTGGACGACCTCACAGCCCACCCGGTGTTAAGTGGTTATCGGAGCCCATATAGACATCTACAACGCAAATGCCGCCACCCAGATTTAGGTAAGGTCTCCGTATAATTACAACCGCTGCTCCGCCCTTCAAACCTGGCTCACAGCCGAAATAGGGAGGATGGTAGTACCTACCTGGGCGGACTCACAAGAGGTCCTACCACAAGTAAGAGTTAAGATTAATTTAAAAAATAAATTTATTATAAAGTTATTATATTAGTCACTGCCATCAGCGCCATCTATCCGACATTAACGTAATTACGTTCGTCCGTATTATTATTTTTCCACATAATCTGGTAACCTAGTCTTGTGTATACCAAAATTTCAGAGCCAAAAAAGAACAAGTCAAAGACAATCTGGTCTCTGGAAATGAGTTCAGATTAATTTCGAACAATATATTTATAAATTTATTTTAAAGATTAAAGTCATTGGCATTAGCGCCATCTATCCGGCAGAACGTAATTACGTTCGTCAGTATTAATATTTTTCCACCTAATCTGATAACCTAGTCTTGTGTATACCAAAATTTCAGGGAAGAAAAAAATACAAATCAAAAAAATCTGCTTTCTGAAAATGAGTTCAGATGAATTTCAAAAAATATATATTTTATAGTAATTTTATAGATTAGTCATTGACATCAGCGCCATCTATCCATCATGTATTTAATTACGTTCGTCAGTATTATTCTTTTTCTACATAATCTAGGAACCTAGTCTTATGTCAGCGGAACCGGGCGATGGTTCTTCGGAGATGTCGCCTTTTATACGTATAAAAAGCTGCTTGAGCTAGTGTTAGCAAATTCTCTCAGATTGAGCCCGAGGTCAGTATGAAGTTGGAACAGCGCCCCTAGCGGCAAACGTAGGCAACCGTTCCAACTCCAAACAAATTCGAGTTAACTTTTACGTTATCGAGAACGTCAAAGAAGTCGCACTAAGCACACTGATGGTCTGGGTCCGTTGACCCCGAAGCCTAGATAGGCAATGAAACTAATACTTTCGCTATAATAATATGCAGAGCAGTATTGCCTATGTGTGTACAAACTCACAGGACTTCCCGTCGCCAGCGACCCGAGCATCCTTCCATTCCAAGGGCTCGATGAGTAAACTAACCTACAGACACAGCCCACTAAGTTTCTCGCAGGATCTTCTCAGTGGGTCCCGTTTCCGATCCCGTGGTAGATTCTGCGAAGCACGGCTCTTGCCAGGGCCACTGTTAGCAACACTACCGGTTTGAGCCCCGTGAGCTCACTTACTAGCTCGGTGAATCTAGAATAACCCCTCGAGGTCATTAGCATAGGTACAGGCATAGGCATACAAAAAAAAAGCCTTCCGATCACGCGACTAACTANAGGATCTTCTCAGTGGGTCCCGTTTCCGATCCCGTGGTAGATTCTGCGAAGCACGGCTCTTGCCAGGGCCACTGTTAGCAACACTACCGGTTTGAGCCCCGTGAGCTCACTTACTAGCTCGGTGAATCTAGAATAACCCCTCGAGGTCATTAGCATAGGTACAGGCATAGGCATACAAAAAAAAAGCCTTCCGATCACGCGACTAACTAATTAATAACTTACCGGTTGACGTTCTCCAGCATCTCTATCGATTCTTCTGAAACCAAACAGGACTTAGGTTTAACACAAACACATCTGGTGGAAAATTGTGTGATAGTTCTTAAATATTTACTGGTAAAATTTTTACTGGTGGTAGGACCTCTTGTGAGTTCGCGAGGGTAGGTACCACTACCCTGCCTATTTCTGCCGTGAAGCAGTAATGCGTTTCGGTTTGAAAGGTGGGGCAGCCGTTGTAACTATACTGAGATCTTATAACTTGTATCTCAAGGTGGGTGGCACATTTACGTTGTAGATGTCTATAGGCTCCATTAACCACTTAACACCAGGTGGGCTGTGAGCTCGTCCACCCATCTAAGCAATAAAAAAAATACACAAAATTCATCTACCCAGTCGCTGGTAGCCTAAGGAGCTATCCCAGCTACGTGGAGGTAAGTAATTTGCTAACACTGACCGTAGCAAGAGCATTGCCTCAATGAATCTACCACCGGATCGGAATCGCGACCCACTGAGCAGATCCGGCGTGAAACTCAGCGGGCTGTGTACCTATGGGTTAATTCGCTCGTCAGAGAAAAAGACCCGAAAGACCTTGAAGAGCCTAAAAGCGTCGAGAATGGATGCGGGGGATCCGATAGTTGCAACGGGTACCAGTACATAAAGTTTTTTTTTATTGCTTACATGGGTGGATGAGCTCACAGCCCACCTGGTGTTAAGTGGTTACTGGAGCCCATAGACATCTACGACGTAAATGCGCCACCCACCTTGAGAGATAAGTTCTAAGGTCTCAAGTATAGTTACAACGGCTGCCCCATCCTTCAAACCGAAACGCATTACTGCTTCACGGCAGAAATAGGCAGGGTGGTGGTACCTACCCGCGCGGACTCACAAGAGGTCCTACCACCAGTAATGCCAGTACCAGCAACTTCTTGTGTAGTCGGGCTTCGATAATCGCTCTGACCAGGACGTTTTGGCGAGAACGCTGATGGGAGCGAGGCTGCATTAATTGTTTTATTTTTTTAATTTAGTATCTCCTCAGGTTTAAACGTGTAATGACCGTATTTTTATTTAAGCCCGTAAGCTCACGTACCCGTCATTCAGCGAGAAGCTTTAATAGCCCCTCGGACTACCAGCAAATAGGTAGTGAAAAAAAGCAACTAATACACACGTTTAAA